AGGAAGCAGATTCCCTGCTGAGCAGAGAGCATAGTGCAGGGTTTGATCCCAGGACCCTGAGATCATGACCGGAGCCGAAGGCAGAGGCTTAACCCACTGAGCCACCCAGGTGCCCCTGTACTGACTTTTTAAATAGAATTTGATTTACACATGTTTTAGGAATGCTTATTTATTGAGAGCCTACTGTAGGGTTCTCAGTAATGTATATATTGGCTGCTGTGTATGCACAGGTGAACCAGATGGGGCCCTCCAAGCCAGCATGTACCTTTGTGTGTGCACTTACAAACCCTCGGTGTTGCCCTTGCTCAGGTAGACTCCCTGGAGCTCTGTCGGGGTAGGGGGAAGGGAAGCAGGTTTGGCGCACATAAGCCTTGAGTTGTGTGCTCTCTGTGTATTTTGTTGATTTGGTTCATGTGGCAAAGTGTATTGTAAGTAAACTTGCTTTCCTCAGCATTAAAAAATTGCTTCATGTAGCCTGAAACTTTTCCCTGACATTACGGGGTCTAGGGTTCTACCTCTGGAGCTATGCTTTATGGCCCTTTGTATCTACACTGGGGGATGAGTTTGACACGTCTTTCCTCTGGGGCGGGGTGAATGGGTCAGTGAGCCAGTGAGGGCACTGGGAAGGTGAACAGACGTTTCTTGGTGAAAGATGGCCCCATGTAGCCACTCGCCTATGCTGGTCATTAGACTAGAGCGATCTAAGCAAAAGCCGAGCTAGAAGATAAAAAATTTTTTTTTTTTTTTTTTAAAGATTTTATTTATTTATTTGTCAGAGAGAGAGAGAGAGGGAGAGAGAGCAAGCACAGGCAGACAGAAGGGCAGGCAGAGGCAGAGGGAGAAGCAGGCTCCCTGATGAGCAAGGAGCCCGATGTGGGACTCGATCCCAGGACGCCGGGATCATGACCTGAGCCGAAGGCAGCCGCTTAACCAACTGAGCCACCCAGGCGTCCCAAGAAGATAAAAATTTTAATCAAAGAATAAAATGCCGAATTGGGGCTCAAATAGGAGTGCATTTTACACAACGTGAAACTTTTCACAGAAAACATTCAGCAATAAGGAAGAAAATAAGAGAAAGTTGAACAAGTGAACTTAAGATGTTTGTATGTTTACCGAAAATAGGATACCCTTGAAAAGGAGGCCTCAGCGAAGCTAGACGTTGTGCCAGTGTGTCTACGAGGAAGCAGATAGCAGAGGAGCTAGTGGCTTAACCTTTATTGGTGAATGTTGGTGGAGACATTATTGTAAACAGTGTGCATTATTCGTGGGCTGAGGGGATATGGTGCGTTTTCCTCCGTGTTCCGCAGACACTGGTGTAAAGGGGTGGTTATTGCCGCATGAGGTGCTTAGAACCAACCCATCCCCAGTACTGGTTGGAAATGACTTTTTTTTTTAAGAGGGAGAAGGAAACTGAGCAGAGTGGAAGGGGGCAGGGAAGGGCAGGAGGAGAGGGAGAGAATCTTAAAACAGATGCAGAGCTCCATCTCATGACCCTGAGGTCATGACCTGAGCTGAAATCAAGAGTCTGATGCTTAACAGACTGTGTCACCTAGGCGCCCCGACTTCTCTTTATAAATAGACATCAAGGAGCAGAAAGTGAGCTTTGAGGTTTAAGACAGACCACTCTTCCTTCCTTCCTTTCTTTTTTTAAATTGAAGTGTAGTTGACATGCAATGTTGTATTATTTTCAGGTGGACGACATACTGATTTGACAATTCTATACGTTACACGGGGCTCCCCAGGATAAGCGTAGTTACCATCACTCACCCTTATAAGGTTATTACAATATTATCAACTCTACTCCCTGTGCTCTACTTTGCATCCCTGTGACTTACCTATAAGTGGAAGTTTGTACCTCTTAATCCCTTTCACTTACTTTGCGCATCCGCCCAGCCCACATCCCCTCTGGCAGTCACCAATTTCTTTGTTATTTATGAGTCTTGTTTCTGTTTGTTTGTTTTTTCATTTTTTTTAAATTTTTTTAGATTCTACATATATAAGTGAAATCATGTGGTGTTTGTCTTTTTCTGACTTACTTCACTTAGTATAATACTCTCCAGGTCATCTGCGTTGCAAATGGCAAGACTTCATTATTTTTTAATGGCCGAATAATATTCCACTGTATGTATACCCCATATCTTCTTTATCCATTCATCTATTCCTGGCCACTAAAGTTGTTTCCATTCTGGGCTGTTGTAAATAATGGTGCACCCAGCATTGGAGTCCATGTAGTCTTTTCAAATTAGTGTTTTTGTTTTTCTTGGGTATAAAGACCCAGCAGCAGAATTGCTGGGTCGTAGATATTCCTATTTTCAATTTCTGGGGGGACCTCTGTACTGTCTTCCAGAGTGGCTGCACCAGCTTACCTGCCCACCAGCAGTGCACGATGGTCCTGTTAGCGCCATGTCCTCGCCAACATGCGCTCTTCCTTGGACACACTGTTTCCAAGCCGTGTGGCTGGCTTTCCAGCCAGGCGGGACACACTGTTACACTCTGCAGACCTTACCCCAAAGCGTTCATGGACAAGAATAAATCTTTTTTTTTCTTTCTTTCTTTCTTTCTTTCTTTTTTTTTTTTTTTTTTAAAGCTTGGGTCACTGTGAAACTCTTTGGACCTTTTTGTACGCTTTAGTGTTATTTATAAACAGGACCATTCTATAGGGAAGACGGGGTGTGTGCGGTGGTGGGAGGCTCTTTCCCCACCTTCCTCTTCCAGTTGCCGCTGCTGTTGCTGGGGTCAGAGATACCGTCTGCCTTTTGTCTCCAAAAAATTCTCCGTTGCCATCCTTGCACAGGATCTGGGGAGCTGGAGAAGGGTGACTGCGGGTTGTCTTTTTCGTCCTGTCTGGGGTCTGCTTCTGAGCTAGAGGAGGAGGCAGGATCCTTGAGCTCATGCATCGTTCAGTGCCTGGCACTGGGCAGCCGCCCCGTTCGGGCTGTGGTCATGGTTTATGACAGAAGAGGTGCTCTCGGCCGCTTGGTGCCTGCAGCACGTCGCCCTGGGAACCTAGCACCAGGTGTGAGCCTCACTGTGAACCAGGATTGAGGTTCCAGTCCTGATCAGCGCTCTTCTTGGGGCTGTGACCTATAGCTACGGACAGCTCTCTCCCTGCCCTCAGAGCAGGTTTCTAGAAAGAGCTGCCGTGTGCCCTGTGCGGGCTCCCTCACCCGCATCCCTCTGCAGCCAGGCCCGCCAGAGCCTGACCTCCATCCTCGCCCCCTGCTGCTGTGGGCCCTTCATCCCTCAGTCCGGTGGGGACCTCCGCTCCTTCCTGAGCTGACCTCGGCTGCCCTGGACCACACCTCCAAACCTGCTCTCCTCCTTTGGCTTGTAAGTCTTGATGCTTTCGGAGTGTTTCTCCCCGCCCAGGTCTTTCTGAGCCCTTGTGCATCCACCCTCGCCTGGAGCTCTGTCCCTCAGAGAGGCGACACTGCGTAGTGGCTGAGCGCGGGGACTTCGTGGCACAGCTGCTTGGCTTCTGTCATCTGCTTTACCTGCTGCTTTCCGGCTGGGACTTAATCTTCATTAAGTTTCTTCATCTGTGAAAATGGGGATGCCAGCCATGCCTACATCCATGGTCGCTGCAAGCACTCGGGGCTCTGGGGTCTGCCTGAGCAGCGCGGACATCCCTCCGTTCCGGCCGTTAGAACGCGTGTCTGTTTATACCCCTGCCGTCTCTCTACATACAGTGTTTGGCACCGAAGCACTTTCAGGGCGTGTGTTTCTTCACGAAAGTCCCAGGAGGGAGGCATCATAGTTCTTGCTCTTAAAATGGTGAACCAGAATAGGTCAGTGATGGACCAAGCCACATAAACTTACTCACTGAACGCAGATCATTCGAACACCAGCACCCTTCCTTAAGCTCCCTCTTGTCCTCTGACTCAGGGAGAGCCCAGGGCCTTCTACCAAGGGACTAGTGGCAGGAGGAGAGACGTGGGGGTCCTGAATTCACCCCTCAGCGCTTTGGGGACCTTGGAAAACCACTTGAATGTCCAGGCTTTGGTTTTTCCCATCTGTCGAGCAGAGATAACAATCTCTACCTTGCCAGACTGACATTCGGGGTTAGTGTGGGACCCAGATGGCATATCTGGTAGCACCTGTGCCAGGATGGACACATTTTAATTATCTTATAATTGTTTTGTAAGTTGTAATGGCTTTAGACAGTCCAAAGCAAGACTGTCTGGGTTTGAACTCCAATTTTGCCACTTAACCTAAGCTCTCCCTGCCCCCCATTCTCTTATCGGCGTGGGCAGTAATGAGGATTCTCTTTTCATAAGCCGCCAGGTAGGAGGTTAACAAGTGAAGACATCGTTTAAGTGTTAGAAACCGGGCCTGGCTCACCCTTAGGTCCCTGTACGTGTTCCCTATTGGGATCATCTGTTAGTACATTTTAGTATCTTTTACCAAATGAAGGTTTGCTTCTGAAAATCCTGACCAAAAGTGGCAGAAGCAGACTAAAAATCAGTATGGAAATTTTGCTCAAGATCCTGTCAGGCTTCTGTCCAAAAAATCTAAATCTTGTTTTTCGGATATCAGCTATCCCTTGAAGCTTAACAGTATTGGGACTAATGTGCTTGTTTGTGTTTTAGATTCAAGGTTACTGGTTGATCTGACCTTGCCCAATGAAATACACAAATGAGATAGCAGTGCAGTTCCCTTTGAAGGAACACTGACCTGTGAAAGAGACCGAAAGCTTTGATGATTTACATTAGTGTTTTTGGAGAGTAAATGGAAATCATGATAACTTCCGTTTCTAATGTGTTTTTTCGGGGCGGGGGATATTAACTTATTCGAGTCATCGCTAGGTTTATTTCTTGACGATAACATTTTCCCAAAGAGGAACCAAAAACCTTTTTTTTTTCCACCTTAGAACATTTACAAATAACATCAAAACCCTTTACAGTATAACCGCGGACGTTCTTAATTTGGCGGGTGGCGTGCTCTGGGGATGTGGGATGTTGCTAAACTGGCTGTTGTGCCCTGTGACCCTTTGTCCCTAGGAAGCCTGCGCTCGTGCAGCTCTTCAGACTGCTTTAGTAAAGCGATGCCACCGAGGAAAAAGAGAAGACCCGCGTCCGGAGATGACTTATCCGCCAAGAAAAGTAGACACGATGGGTATGTCGCAGAGCCAGTAGATCAGACTCGATGACGTGTATCAAAGAGGCACACTTTCAGAGTGTAATTATCTTGGGATATTTATTTTACGTGTGGGTTTATGAACGAAATCCAAATTAGGTAAGTCGAGTTCTTAGAAATTGAACTTTTATCTCGGTCCGTTGAGCCACCAAAACTGGTGTAGAGTCTCTTTCTTTCCTTTCAAGGGCTTGCCGTCTGTGCCCGTTGAGGACCACAGGATTGGTACGTATCTGTCCTCTAAGAGGGTCTCACCAAACACAATCACAGGAATCCATAATTGCTTTCACGAGGGCCCCCAGGGCCCAGTGGCTGGGGGAGCGCCCGGGGGCCTGGCCGCTCTGAGCCTGCTTGGAGTGTTAGCCGGGCAGACCAGTCTCAGATGAGTGAGAATTTCTTTAGAAACCGTGAAAAATAAGACCCTGCAAACCACTTCTCTTTCAGAGAAGTGGTTTTGGTTTTCACAGAAGTGGTTTTGGTCACTCCGAAAGTCAGTAGACTTGTTTATCTTAGGCATCTTTAATCTTTCATCTGGATTTTCATGAGTCATTGGGAACAGACATCATAATTTCAATCTTTTCTGCCTTTTTTCCACTTTCCTCCATTCTGGCTTTGTAGGTTACTTCACTCATGGGCCTGAATATTCACATCTATGAACCAAGGGGATTTAGATGAGATTTTTCTGTTGTTTTCTTGCCATGGGACTTAATATGCTCTTCCTCATTTGGAAGGATAAAGAACTCGACTCTGAAAATGGGCATCCCTCGTCCTAGCCCAGATGAGCAGCAAATGTGATCTGTAAGAAGGTAGCAGTGACTAAGACAATCACCAGCAAGGTTTCGACCAGTGATTTTCAGCTTTGGGAAGCCAGTCACTTGATACTTCTTTGGTGGTGTTGATGCTCTGGTCATGGAGCTGTTAAATGATAATAGTCACATGGAGTTTGTGACTCTGTCCACCGCCCTCGTTACTTCTCACCACTCGCTGGGATAACTCCGTATGAGAAAGCTGCTTAGAAACCGGTAGCTGCATTGCGGGAGGGTGTGATGTCTTCTTGCCGATAGGATAGCATTTCACTGGCCACCCAAGGGGTAGGGGTCTGTAGCTTTGGCTGAGTTTCATTCTCGGTCTTTTCAAAAAAAAAAAACAACCAACTTTATTTACATACCGTAGCTCTCATCCACGTTAAGTGTACAATTCAGTGATTTTTACCAAGTAGTTAAGAGTTAACGCAACCATCACACAAACCAGTTTTAGAAGATGTCCACCACCCCAGTGAGATCCCTGAGGCCCATTCACAGTCCCCCTCCCCAACCCCGTTCTCACCCCCAGATGCCCACAACCCCCCATTTAGCGGCCGTGTACAGATTGGCCTTTCCTGGGCATTTCACGTGAGCGGTGTGTTTGTGTCACGCTTCTTTGACTTTGCATGTTGTTTCTGAGGTTCATTCATGTAATCACATGTATCGGTATCTTTTATTTACCAAATAGTACTCAATTGCCCTTTTTTTTTTAATTTTATTTTTCATAAACATATAATATCTTTTTATCCCCAGGGGTACAGGTCTGTGAATCGCCAGGTTTACACACTTCACAGCACTCACCATAGCACATACCCTCCCCAATGTCCATAATCCCACCCCCCCAACCCCCCTCCCCCCATTAACCCTCAGTTTGTTTTGTGAGATTAAGGGTCACTTATGGTTTGTCTCCCTCCCAATCCCATCTTGTTTCATTTACTCTTCTCCTACCCCCTTCACCCCCCATGTTGCATCTCCTCTCCCTCATATCAGGGAGATCATATGATAGTTGTCTTTCTCCGATTGACTTATTACGCTAAGCATGATACCCTCTAGTTCCATCCACGTCGTCGCAAATGGCAAGATTTCATTTCTTTTGATGGCTGCATAGTATTCCATTGTGTATATATACCACATCTTCTTTATCCATTCGTCTGTTGATGGACATCTAGGTTCTTTCCATAGTTTGGCTATTGTAGACATTGCTGCTATAAACATTCAGGTGCACGTGCCCCTTCGGATCACTACGTTTGTATCTTTAGGGTAAATACCCAGCAGTGCAATTGCTGGGTCATAGGGTAGTTCTATTTTCAACATTTTGAGGAACCTCCATGCTGTTTTCCAGAGTGGTCGCACCAGCTTGCATTCCCACCAACAGTGTAGGAGGGTTCCCCTTTCTCCGCATCCTCGCCAGCATCTGTCATTTCCTGACTTGTTAATTTTAGCCATTCTGACTGGTGTGAGGTGGTATCTCAGAAATACAAATCAAAACCACAATGAGATACCACCTCAATTGCCCTTTTTTATGTAGAGTACTTCGAAGCCATTCAAACATGGCAGCGTCCTCTGTAGGTCTCCATGTTGTTGATCGGTTACAGTCCGTGAGCTGAGAATGTCTCGGCCCAGGATTGGAAGCTCTCTGTTTGAACCATTGGCCAGTCCCACCTTTGTTTCTGGGTAGTGTGGCCTATAGAAGAGATACAAAACTGGGGGGTTTGCTGTTTCAGTATCTTGATACCCTACAGCCATGCTCCGTATGAAAACCCAGAATCTCTAATCGGGTGTATACAGATATTCTGGTGAATGTCTAGGTCATGAATAAATTCTTACTAAAATGTACTTGTGTATGATCTTTGTAATATATAATATGTAAACTAAAACTATATTCTTAAGTGTTGACATATATATATATATATATATATATATATATGCATACACATACGTGTTTAGGCAATTTATACATAGATGAGGAAAAGAAAAGGTATATAGTCGGAAATTTTCTGTTGAAAGGACTACTTTAAAGATCCTGCCTTCTCTCCCTTCCCCAGATGGGGAACATCTTGGTTCTTAGGTCCCAGTCGTCACAAAATACAGAACTCCTGCAGAGTCAATATTGTAGGAGCAGGCTGCTGGGCTTCCTGACTTGGTTCTGCAGCTTATGCTGGATGTTTCCATACCAATGGGGCATGACAGGAGAGGGGCCGAAGCCAGGCTCCTGTACTTCTCTCTTCTGAGTTTTTTTCCCCTTAGGCGCTTGGACATAATTTTATGTTTCTTTTTATTTGCTTAATATTCCCTTGACGTGTCCAATACCGACGGGTTCTTCCTTAGACTGCGTTCTGTGCCCCCCCCGATTTGTAAGACCTGGAAGGAGAATTTAATGCAGAGACAGGAGTGAGTTGTAGGGTCATTGCTGGGAGGAAACACCTTAGCCAATTCTGGCTGCGTCTCACTATATCATTCTGTAGGTTGTTCTGGCTCGTGAGGTAGAGGGGAGTATATTAAATCAGTCCTTACTGAGTACTTGTTAATCAGAGCAAAACTTGTATCAAGTATTTACCATTTAATTCTGTTTTGGGTCTGACTGTGTTTAAAAGTGTAGTTACAAAAGCTGAAGATTCCACGTGCAGGAAGCAAAATGTTTAAAATATACTGGAAATACTGGTTGAATAGATGTCTGGTTTGGGTAAAAGAGGAAAAAACTGTCTGCCACTTAAAAGAAACTCCGCATCTTTAAATAATTGCAGACTCCTTTCTCCATTTCTAGCATGTATAGGAAGTATGATTCAACCAGAATAAAGACGGAAGAAGAAGCCTTTTCAAGTAAGAGATGCTTAGAGTGGTTCTACGAATATGCAGGTAGGTCCTCGTTCAGATGATCTGAGGCTGTAAGGACTGCCTTAGGAAAGAGTGAAGAATTTAAAAATGTGTACTTTTCTAATGTGGTATGTGTGCCGTCTCTTCCTGTTTGAGGGAGGGAACATAGTCGAAACAAGTCACCAAATGTCCTATTTATAGCCAGCAGCTAAGCCAAAGAATTCAGAACACTAGAAGGGAACTGAGAAGATGAATGCACTTGGGAGAAATACTCGGGATTGCTAGGAAACCTACTTAGAATGCTGGTGGTGGGTGACTCTTTGGTTTGTACATCAAAGTTAAAATAAGCTTTGCTGCTTTGAACCCTTATGTGCAATGGAATTTCTTCTATTAAGTGTCTATTTTGAAAGCTCATTTGGCAAAAGTTTGTTTTGTCATTTAAAGTGTCTCAAATTCCGTCCTGTTTTTGCAGCTCACAATAACTGGTTGGATAATATCAGACTGAAATCCAGGGTGGCTTGTCACTGTGGCTGTGTGCAGGGTAAAAAGAAAAGGAGTATTTCCAGACGAGTTTGAGCTGAAGGCTCTCCTCCCCTTCCTCTTTGCTGTGTTTCTGGCCCTCTCCTAGCCTGCGTATTTGACAATTTCAGCCCCTTTCAAACCGATTTTCCTGTCCTCTGTCTCTGCTCCCAACTAGGTTTCATGGACCTCCTGTGGTCTTACTTAAAAAACAAAACAAAAACAAAAAACTGAGCAGATCGGACATGTCATTCCCTAACACTCCGTTCCAGCCTCACCTCCTGCTGCAAACTCCGTGCTCCCTGCAGGTTAAAAGACCGCTCCCGGACTCGCTGCCATCCCTCCACCTGGAGGGTTTCCTCTCTGCTCTGACATCTCACAGCTCTTGCTGGTCATCTTTGAAGCCTCGTCATTAGCTTAATAGCCTTCTTTGTACTGACCCAGGACATTTTCATAACTGGTTCACATACCCTTTTATTACGTGTCAAAGCGAGGGTTCCTCCTGTTGGTCTGATCTGCTCTCCCCCCGCCCCCCGCCCCCCTGCACCCCATCCCCTACCTCACCCTGTTCGTTTTCTATTAAGAACCTTGTGCCTTTGGCCACAGAAGTTGTTCCAGGGGCTGGCAGGTAACTCAGGCCAGGCCAATCTGATCAAATTCCCTGGGATTTTCAGATTGAAGCTAGGAGAAGAGCATTTTCTCTCCTGGGTGGTAGACTTGAAAGGACATGATCCTGTTTCCCTGTAGGTCTTTTGATTTTCCCGAGCTACTCCGATATCTTTCTAATGAATTCTCCTTCATTGCTTGAACTAGTTGGAGCTGGATTTTGTTTGCAGGGCATGGACCTTAGTACAAATACTTACATAGTATTAGAATGTATGTGTTTCCATGTTACATCGAGAGAAAGTGAATCTCTCGAAGACATTTTGTATTCCTAGGAAAAGCGGTTGGCCCTTTGCCAGGTGTTTGATACTTGGGTGCTGAATGTGGTCTTTTCATATTTATATTACTTTGATTATGAAGGTTTTTTGCTTTCTTGTCTTGGTTCACATTGATTTTTATGGAAATAGGTTATGAAAAGGAAAAAGTTTTGTCTTTTAAACAGACAAAAAGTACACTTAATTCTGCCATCAGAGCATAGCTATTTTGTGTGTGTGTGTGTGTGTGTGTGTGTGTGTGTGTGTCTTTCCAAGCAAACATCATTTTTTCATGGTATGGCCACATTTCTGTGTCCTTTAAAAAGGGCAGGCTACAGTTTTCCTTCTTGTTTGCTTTTCTCTGGCTCAGGAAGGTGACATTTGGGATAAAGATTAAGCCACATTCTTTAGGTTCCTTGAAATCCCTGCCAGGTGGTTCCTTGCAGTTCATCTCTGCAAACAGTTTTTGTGGGTGCGGCCATCCCTGTTTTTACTCCCCTCCCCCATTTTGTCTTCTTTTCCTGTGTTGGTAGGGAAAATGGCTTGAAATTGGGTCTAATGAAGAGCTCCAGCTGATACCTGCTTTCCCTTCTAATATCCCATGCACATGAATAAAAGCTGTAGATCATTATTCAAGAAAAGCAAATGGTGACATGACCCAGGGCGACTGTCAGGTGGTGCTGTGGGATGAGTCTGCGGGGCGGGGGGGTGGGGGGGTGGGGGGATGGCAGGCTAGGAGGCTGTGGTGGGGCAGGGGAGGGGATTGGGGCACTAACTAGCAAGAGGAAGGCTTTAGCACCCATGGTGAGTTCTGTTTCCTTGGGAAAGAGCAACTGGCATGGGCTTGACTCCTTGCACTCTCATCTGGGGTGGGTAGAGGGGCGGTAGGGGCCTTTGTGGTGTAGTCATCTCACTGGGGTGCCTCTTCCCTTCTTCCCAGAGTTCATTCCTCCTTTACACTGTGACTAGGGAACATTTGAAAGCCACATCCCAGCTGGCTGCAGGTCTCGCCCACGAAGGGGTAGGCTGGCCATCTTTTCCGGCGGTGTGGCTCGGCTGTGGGGTTGGGGAAATCAAAGCCAGAGAAACTACCATCTGCTCAGTCCAGCTCGCCTCCCTGGTGCCTCTGGAGGCCTTGGCGGCTCCTCTACAGGGGTTAGTTGGTGGGGGACCGAGAGCCAACAGAGTGGACCCCTGGCTGGTAAGGGCCAAGCTCCCCTGGTGCTCTGAGAAGGGGTTTTTTAACATTGGTACACATGCTGTGGTTCCTGGGGTGCCCTCCACTGCCCCCTGCTCAGTAACAGGGCCTTGCTAATCAGGTTGTCACTGGACGAAAGTGCTTGAGATTACCTGTCCCCCACTGCCCATGGCAGACCTCCATCTGCAACAGGAGTCCCAGCTCTTTCCATTAGGATGAAAAATAACCAGTGTTACCTGAGCAATTGACCTGATAACGTCTACTTTCTGAAGTCTATCTAAGAATAAGGAATTAAGCCAAACACGTGCCATTGTCGAAGTCAGAGTTACAAGGAAGCTCACATATATGTAAACCATAGAAGTTTTCCCAAGTCCTGACTCCAGGTCCTTAGTTTCTGTTTTGGATTAAGTTCTATGACAGGATTGTGTTTGGGTTTACCAGAATGAGATTAAGGACCAGGAGCAGATGCTAAGTGACCAAGTGATCTGTCAGCAAGGGAACAGAGGTTACAGGTAAGGTAAGGGACAGTGTGGCCTCATTTGCCTCAGGGATGCAGGGTCATGGCATTATGGAAGCTTTCCCCTGAGGGCCTGAGGCCACCATGAAAAAGGTTAAATATATTTATGAGGGGCCCCTGCTTAGGATGGTGGGGAAAGTGGGGGGGCTACTTTTGTTTTTAGAGCGTTGTCGGTATATCTGCTTTCCAGATATATCTCCACTGGCTTGTTACCAGGGCAATCCACAGCTTAGGATTTTCGATACAACTTTTAAAAATCATCTCCTTCATGCTTCACCTCTAACCACTTCGTGTCAGCCAGTTCTGTATTCAGAATGAAGACTTCTCAGTTCTTAATGGTGGAGTTAAGATGGCTGAATTCTACGTGTGAATTGATAAATTCCTGATCCCAACGAGCAGCGTGATTACAACTAAATCTCAGTGCATGCACGAGAAAGACCATGGCTAAAAGAGAAAAATTGTTTTAAGTAGCAGAATTATGGGTATCTTTTAAATAATGTTGATTGACAAGCTATATTTTACGGTTTTTAGGATAAAATACTACTTTGGCCAGAGTCATGCCCCTGCAAGGCATATGGTTAAAACTTGCTCTTTAGAGACAACAGAGGCAAGTATTGTAGGTAATAGGACAATGGCATCGCGTAGAATCTGGAGGAAAGGAAGAACCCTGGAGAACTTAACATGATAGCCGCGCGGTATATGTCAGCAAACCTCCCCTGAGGGCCTGCTGGGTGCCAGGCTCTGGGGTGCACTCAGGCTAACAGACAGACCCGAGAAGCATCGTCTTTGGGCTGAATACTGGCAGAGAGAGGCGTCAGTGGCCAGTCTGGAGGGTGGACAAGGTCAGCCGGGACCCACCAAGTGCCTGTGCACAGGCCTGGGGAAAAGGAGGCACCTTACAAGGCTCAAGGCTCACGGTTACGGCAGAAGAGCACTTTCCAGTTGGGAGGAATGGAAACCAAAGACAGGAATTTTAAATGAATTATAAAGTAACTTTTTCTTTCACATCTGCAACTACCTCTCAAGGGGTCCTCCCAGTAGTGACCAAAAAAAGGCATCTGTTCCTAAGAACAAAACCTCTTAGCATAATAGGAATGGGTGGATATTTCCTCACAAGAAGAACTCTTCTTGGATCTTGTCGCTGGAATCTTTACAGTAGTAGAACCATGGCCAGGACAGTGACCCGTACACACGCTTCCGTGCAGGGAGGTGACGGAAGACAGGCCACTAGCAGAGCGCATGTGCGGGTCCTCGCCTGAGCAGACCACCAGGTACGCACGGGGACCAAAGCGAGGGGCAGGATTTACAGGCCTAGTGTGAACCCTTGTGTGTCAGCAAACTAATAAGTGATTTCATTGTGTATTTGCTCATACCTAAGTCTGAGAGCAGAAAACACCTTTTTCTTTTTAGTCTCCTTTGCCCTGATTTTGTCTATTGGAGCGTTTTCCCATGTGGCTGTATTCCTGTGTCATTTGCAGAATATTTACGTGCTGCCCACGTGTGGGTGTCCACACCCTCAAAGCCAGAGCTTGCAGCCTGTCAGGTGGTAAAATGCTGAATGTGTTTTCATTTGAGTGAAGAGAGATAAGGGTTCTCACCCCTGGCGATGCTTATTTGCCCATGTTTTGGAAATGATGAGCCAGTGCTGTTAGACAAGAGATGGAAAGAATGGGGAATAAGTCATTGGAAAGGAGCAGGCAAAAACGAACATTGGCTGGAGATGAAATGATCAGATTCTCCCTGGAAAGCCACGGAGAACTTCATGGACGAACAGAAACAGCAAATAAACATGGACCTATTCCATGCCTGTAGAATTCTATAAGCAACTTATTTCGGGAAGGCTATTTAAAGGACTGTTTAATAAATGATTGTCTCTGAGGAGTAGGGAAGGGTTGGAGGGGAAACTTGCTTTCTAATTTTTTTTCACTTTCACTTTGACATGAACTTTTATATCATGTGTGTGTATTAATGTAGCAAAACATAACTGGATTAGAAATGCAGTTCTTTTATTTGGATAATAATTTTTATTATTGTCTTAATATTTAAGTATTATTTAAAGATTTCAGTATTTAAATTTTTGTTTCAACAATAGCTTTTACCCCAGTCATCAAGATAAGTAAATTAGGACTATGTAGAAAAACGTGTAAAGGGGCGCCTGGGTGGCTCAGTGGATTAAGCCGCTGCCGTCGGCTCAGGTCATGGTCTCAGAGTCCTAGGATCGAGCCCCACATCGGGCTGTCTGCTCAGCAGGGAGCCTGCTTCCTCCTCTCTCTGCCTGCCTCTCTGCCTGCTTGTGATCTCTCTGTCAAATAAATAAATAAAATCTTTAAAAAAAAAAAAAAAGAAAAAGAAAAACGTGTAAAATAAAAAGAGAAAAAAAGAAAATCCCCAAAAAGGGGAACGGATTTGAATATGTGAAACAAAACATTTTGTAACAAAACAGCACATTTGTGATGCGAAGGAGAATAACAACATGCAGAGAAAATATTTGCGGTGGCCACATTACAAGGGAAGGGCCTGAGTTTGACTTGAGGGGAGCCAAGGCTTTGAAGCAGGGAAATGACATAAGACTTTCCAACAAGCCCTCTAGGTGATTTTAATATTCATTTTATGTTGAGGACAGCAACCTTATACATTTATTGTTGTTTATTATTTTTTTTTTAAGTAATCTCTACATCCAACGTAGCACTTGGACCACAGCCCCAAGATCGAGCGTTGCATGCTCCGTGGATCCTGCCCCCCTAGGCACCTCTGTATATCATTATTTTGTATTGAAATTACTCCTGGCTGGCTCGGGTGGTTACGCATGCAACTCTTGATCTCCGGGTTGTGAGTTCAAGCCCCATGTTGGGTGTACAGATTACTTAAAAAAAAAAAAATAAAGAAGAAAAAAAAAAGGAATTACTCCTATGCTCTGTCTTCCTTCCTGGAGGGCAGGGCCCATGTTTTCTCCGTCTTTAGCAAAGGTCCACCGTGTGTCAGGTCAGTGTTACCTGGATGAAACAGAGCTATGAAGATGGTGGGATTCTGCAGGGCTTGCTAGATCTAGGGGCTGTGCAGAGATTGTAGAGGGACTCCTGTATTCCACTCTTCACTCATTCATCCAGTACGCTTTCTAAAAGCACCTGCTCCGTGACAGGTGGGGTGCTGAGGGTCCCTTGGAAGTACATAGCTCTTACTTTGGAGGAATCACGAGGGAAAGACACAGGAGCCAGGACTTAACGCAGATGGGCCGCATGTGAGAAGATGCTCCTGGGATGGCAGGGTCACAGAGGACTGCCCCTCCCAGTCTCTGCAGGGGTGCGGTGGGGGGGAGTGGAGGACTCCCTGTCTGGTTTCAGTCTTCAGGACTGAACGAGCCGGCCAGCTAACACTGGGAAGGGGGAGAGGAAGACGGGCTGAGGCCACAGAGAACAGTCTGGTGTTAGGTGTGTGGCAGGACATGTGTGCCGAGCAAACCACAGGTAAGTGTTTCTGGGTCTCAGTTTTTATTCATTGAGGACTGCTTATTGATTCATTTCTTTCTAAGAAGATTGAGCTGAAGGTGGAGAGATGGGAGGCTGAAGAGGAAGGGAGGCTCTAAATCCTAGAGAACCTTATTGGATATGCCAGACTTTGGACCTCATCCTCGGGGAGTGGGGAGCCACTGAAGGGCTTGAAGCCAGCATGGGGTTTATGTCTGGGATGGCTCCTTTAGGTGGCTGTGCGCAGGGTGGGTCGGGGGATGCGGGGCTATGGAATTCAGGAGAATCCCAAGGAGACTGCTGTGGTCATCTGCATGGGAGAATAAAGCCTGAACAGGCTAGCACAGGATAGGTGCGCCTCAGAAATATTTGGAAAGCAGAATTGGCATGGCACCTGCTAGTTGACCGGACGTGGAGCATGTGGAAGAAGGGAGAGGTCAAGGATGACTCCCAGGTTTCTGTTTTCTGGTGGGGCCACCAGCTGAGAGGGACTACGGGAGGATAAGCAGGCGTGGCATGGAGAGATGATCTGGTCAGTGAGGTGGTGGCTGAAAATGAAATGCAGGAGGTGGCTCAGGGCAGAAGATGAGTTCATCTGTGGCCGTTCGACAGGACGTGGTAGACAGTCCCAAGCTAAGAGGGAAAGCGTGGGCCCGAGAGCTTGAGTGCCCTTGCAACTTCCTTGGCAGAAGGTATAGAAGGGACTAGGAAAGGTTTCAAGATGGAACTCCACACGTCAAATTTAACATGTTGGGAGGAAGCAAAGGAACACATGAAGAGGCCAAAAGAGAAGTAGGAGGAAAACCAGATGAGAGAGGGTACTTCCAGAAGCTGTGGGCAGAGGCAAACTTTGTGAAGAAAGAGCTCCAAAGTTTCAGATAGCACAGAGAGTTCAGATAAAAACCAGTTGTCTGTTAGATTTGGCAGTGAAGGTGTTGTTGGTGACCTTGGCAAGAAGAGCTTCAATAGAGAGAGAGGAGCAAAAACTAAATTGCAGTGGTTGAAGAATGAATGGGCAATAAAGTAGAGCTAGAACATGTAGGCAGTTCTTTTAGGAGGAAACAAAGCTGAAGCCAGAGTGGGAAGAAAGAGGCTTTATTGCCTTATCAAGAACAGAAAGACTGCTTGCTTTTCTCCTACGGAAGAGAAGCAATTATGTTATTTCCCAGTTAATTTTGTAAAGAATGTTATGTGGTTCTCGGGTTTCCAGAGATTATTGTATATATTGAAATTATCACCAAAATAAGATAGAGCTATGAGCTCCTTGAAAGAGAAGGAGTTGAACTCAGGTAGCCTTATCTCTAGACGCAAATTATTTGTAGCCTGTGTCCTCAGGTTGGAAGACGTGGCAATAAACTGACTTAAATCATTGTGCAGAGCCGAATTCTTTAAAAAGTAATGGAAATTCCAGAATATTTTCTAGTTTATACTTGGTGACTTCTTTTTTTCAGAAAGGATTATGGCCTGTGTTACTTGATTTTAGTTTCCTTTAATCATATTTTAACTGTATAACACTACTATAGGAGTAATAGTGTACCTGGTAAGATTAAATTTATATAAGGTTTCATTTCATCACAGGTACTGATGATATCGTAGGCCCTGAAGGCATGGAGAAATTCTGTGAAGACATTGGTGTCGAACCAGAAAATGTAAGTGTAGCCTATTAAGGTAGGCAAATCAGTTGACTATTTTCCTTACCTCTTTTGTCCCTTGACAAATAAAGCAACAGTAAAAAAGTAACGGTGTGTGTTAGTTTTATGAGGCAATCTAGGCAACAAGTTCCAATCTAATTTGATTTCTAAGCAAAATTTTTTTTTTAATTTTTTTTTTTAAAGATTTTATTTATTTATTTGACAGAGAGAGATCACAAGTAGATAGAGAGGCAGGCAGAGAGAGAAAGAGAGAGAGAGAGAGAGAGAGAGAGAAGCAGGCTCCCTGCTGAGCAGAGAACCCGATGCGGGACTCAATCCCAGGACCCTGAGATCATGACCTGAGCCGAAGGCAGCGGCTTAACCCACTGAGCCACCCAGGCGCCCCTCTAAGCAAAATTTTTTCATTGCAATTGGTATGGTGTGACTGGTTAGTCATTTTTTTCTTGTTTACGTTCTTGTATTTGAAAGGCCTGGTTATAATAAAGTAATTAGGCTAGATGTTTAAAAAGTGGTATGGGCCTGTGTACCTTCAGTGGGGATCAGTCAGGAGACTGAGTCACAGTCTATCTGTCCCCCTCTGTAGTCATTCCAGCCCAATGTAGAGTTTGTCCAGATCTTTGAATAATTAATTATTCATCAGGGTTTTGAGTAGGTTGTAATGATCAAGAATTTTTCATAGCTCTTCCACTTCTGATCAGATTTAACACAGGGATTACTTTTTAATATATAAAGGCCCTAAGTATGTCCTTAAAAATTTTTAATTAGAAGTTACTTTATACACTTAATTATTTTTTCTTAAGTCTTATCATCATGGTATTGTTGAACATTTTTTCCTGTCCTACATCGTCTCTCTTACACTAACATGAAAAACGATACTATACAAGTGCCCTGGCTCATTAACCACGCAGTCTGATACCGCATTAGCCTCCGATTTAACAAACATGTCTTAGCTTCTAAATGAATTTATGATCTAGAAGAGATCTCAAGAGATCGTCCCTCTCATTCAGACTCTTCTTGGCAAGATCGCTGGTGCTCATGCTCTTAAAGACAACTAGAAATGAAGACGTCACACTTTTTCTTAAAACTTTTCTTTATCCTTAACATTTCTATGCCTCTGTCCTGCCCCAACTCCCCCCAACGCTTTACTTTTTCTAAAGAGCTTTTAGCTCATTACATGGATTTCTGTCCTTATATTTTTTATTTTAATGTGATCTAGTTCAGGGATCTTAATAAATTATTCAGCCTGCTCTAAAGGTTTAGGGACAACTGGGCCAATAAAGAGTATTTGCCTGATGAGGCCCATAGACTACTAGTCATAGACACAGAAAAGAATATTTCACCAGCTTTATGAAGGAAATTTCCTGATGGTGGCTGGGCTGAGGTTGGCAGAGTGTTTTCTGGACTGAATGGTAAGAGGGGTAAGAGTGAGTTGGGCCTGAGAGCAGACCTAAGGAGCACAGATGTCAGCCTGGATGGGAGGAGGGGTGGACAGCAGGGCCAGGAAGGGAGGAGATCAGGACCGCCAATGTGAGAGGCATTTCGAGAGGCTTTGTGGGAGCATTTACTCCCGGGGCAGGGAAGGCCTGTTGGAGAGGAGGGAGTGCTGCCCTTGATTCTAGTTCTTCAGATAGCTGTCCTCAGCTACAGAGAGCTGCTCTTAGTATCCTTTTGTGGAGCAGTGATGAGGCCTTTCGTTCTCGATTTCTGTAGGAAAAGAAATAGTCTTGAAATGTGAAATCACACTGAAGACCGGGAGACCGAATTCAGAATATTATCCTAAAGTATTTATTACCGTGCGTCAGTTCTAAGGCACCAATAGAAGTTATATTTTATATCATCACTAAGAAAGAAAAACATTTGCTAAGTAAACTGATATGCATCAGTTGTGAACACATCCCAATGTCGGAAGTGTTAACATTTGAAAAATAAGTGTTGAGATAGTTTTTTAAAGGCTTGTCATGCTCTGTTGACTTAGCACTTGAAAACACTTTAAAAGTAGGTTGTAGGGCACCTGGGTGGCTCAGTCATTAAGTGTCTGTCTTCGGCTCAGGTCATGATCCCAGGGTTCTGAGATCGAGCCCCACATTGGGGCTCAGTGGGAAGCAATAAATAATGAATAAAATCTTAAAAAAAAAAAAATAAATGTTGTAAAGCCCTCACCTTGCCTGAGACTTACAGCTTATAAAATTTAAGCAGGCTCGTAAAATTCAAATGTGCTGTCATTTACTAAGGCAACAACAAAATCCTTTATTTAAGTAATTAGCATCCTGATAAGCTACCATAAGAAAAAGTCCATTTTGTGTAAAGAAATACTCATCGCAAATATCGACTTGGTTTTTTAGCCACATTTCTTGCATATTAGTGTGTGTGTGTGTGTGTGTGTGTGTGTGTGTGTGTCCTAACCATTGTTTTAACTTAACAAGTGTTTATGTGGACTTTAAATCTCTCCAGTAGAGGATTTGAGTATAGATATTCTGTGAGAAGATACCAAGTTTGAATTAGAAAATGTGGGTCATTTCACCTAGGTAAATTGATATGCCAGAGTCAAAATTCCAAGAAAAGCTAAGGGTTAGGGAGAGATCCTCTACTGTGTAAATATTTGGAAGAACATGTAAGCTCTTTTTGGGAAGTTCTTCTGAGTAGCCCCCTGGTCTCTTAAGGTAAAATTTTTTAACCTGTTAAGCGATGATATTTTGTGATGATATGCATGGTATGTGGAAATACTAGTTTACTAATCAGTTCTAGTAATCTACCTAGTAATCTAGATTTTTTAATCTAAGAAACGTAGTAACTTTAAAAATTGACATGTATTGATTTAATTGAGATTTGGTGAAAGGGCTTAGAGAATCAGTTCTCACAGATAATAATTTCTAAGGTGGAAATTTCACCATAAAGTCAGCATGAAGAGAAAGCTTTTCATTAATCTTGCAGTTAGAAATTAGACAAAACTGGACATTTTTAGTCTACAAACTAGCTTGTTGGCGAACAAAAGGACAGACTTGCTGCATCTCCTAAATACTATTGTTCTGAAGTACTTAATGTGTGTGTTGGCTCTCAGAGGCTAATTAAATCATCTCAAGCGATTTCTAATTGACTGCTTGCCTTACTTTTTTCCTGTTATGTCATCCTCTTACCACCATCACTGTCGGACCCAGTGGGTCCATATGGCTGGTGGCTTGATGTTTGGGGAAGTTCTTCTGGTAACTGAAATGAAGCCTTCAAGTCCTGTGTAAAGAAATCAGATTAACTGCCAAACATGGAACATGTTAGTCCCTGGCCAACATTTGCAGAAACATATGTTTTCTTCCCATTGTTTTTTGTTGTTGTTCTTACAACAGGCAGACACGTAGCCATTTGTCAGTGTATAGCCCCGGTTCAGGACTTGGGTGTCCCTTAGGTATGGACAACTGTCCAGAGATAACCAGCCCCACAGGGTGGTGGGGTGGTCCAAGCAAATCCCCATCCCTCTTCTTTACCTGTCTAGGGATGACCTCCTTTCCTTTTCAGTTACTCCTCATCTTATGTTGGGTCTTTGAGGTAGACGAAATGGGAAGGCTTCCTCCTCTTCCACACTCATGGATGGGCAGGGTCAGCTCTGTCGCTGTGCGGAGCCCTGGATAGTTAGAAGCTGGACATGCCTTTGAAACGTTGACTTTACACCTTCAGGGATTTATTAAGCTCACCATCAGGATCTGTGGGCCGTCTTTTCTCTAAAGCTGCTAAGTGATAAGCTGTGCCGTAAACTAGAGTTGTCACGGTTCCTGATAACGCATTTCCGAAGGTTCCCTAGAAGCCAGAGTAGTGCCCCACTGAGAAGTGATCGGGCTGGGCCACTCAGCCTGTGCTCGGTCCAGGCACCACGCTTTTTAGAGTGGAATGTTGGGCTCCTCTCAGATAATTTTCCTCCAGTCTATACAGTTAAATTCACAAACATTATTGTGTATCTGTGATACGACTCCATTACTACATATGACCCATCACCCACCTTTTTATTTTTGTAGCCCGCTGCTCTGCACCTGCTCTTTTCACTTAATAAACCTTGGAGATTGTTCCCCATTTCTGCTGATGGCTCTACTTCATTTGTCTTAATGGTGGCATAGTATTTCTTTGTGCAGAAAGCATTCAACAAGGAAGTATTTAATTAGGCCCTTATTAATAGATGTGTGGTTGTTCTCAGGCTTTTGCTACTATAAGTAATACTGCAGAAAATATTGTTGAATAATAACATCTTTCTATACGTGTATCTGTAAGGTAACTTTCCATGAGTGGAGTTGCTGGGTCGTAACTGGTTTTAATTTTGGTAAATATTGCAGAATTGCACTCTGGAGTGGTTAATGGCTTTACACTTCCACTATCGTGCATTGTAAGAGTTCATGTTCCTCCAAGCCTTTGTCAACAGACGAATGATCAAACTATTTTTTAGATGTCTTCCAAACTAGAACGCATCATTGAAGTTACCCTGTTCATATTTCGGTGACTAAACTACCGTAAACACAGGCATTGGGAAAGTTGTTGATATGTTTTAATTCCTAAGATCTGTCATTCTGATTTGATTGGTCGTTCTAATTTTTTGTTTGTTTTTATACAGGTAGTTATGCTTGTCCTCGCTTGGAAATTGGATGCACAAAACATGGGTTATTTCACTTTGCAGGAATGGTTGAAAGGAATGACTTCTCTACAGTAAGTCCCAAGGCTGCCCTGGGAGTGGAGTTGTGGGGGAGGCCTCCATGCACTTCCCAGCTGGCTGTTTCCAAGGGAGGTTAGGGAGCCCGGGCTGGGTGACTGGAGGAAGCCAGGTGATCTGGCAGACTTCATCTGTGGCCACAGGTGTAAAGACCAAATCCCATTTTTACATGGTGAAGAGGACATTATGCATGAATTTAAATTAAAATTTTTATGGAATGTATATTGTTTATTTTAGTATTCTTCTAGAGCAGATCTGCCCAATAGAAGCCTCTTCTCATAGATGTGAGCCAGTCTGTCATTTTAAACTTTCTAATAGTCCCATTAAAAAAGGTTAAAAGAAACAGGTAAAATTAATTTTAATATATTTTATTTAACTCCAAATATCCAAACTGTTATTATTCTAACATATAATCAGTATTTTAAAAATTAATGAGCTGTTCTTTTTTTCATATTAAATCTTCAAACTCTGGTGCATGTTTTAACATTTCTGGTCCACCTCAGTTTGCATTAATTGCATCTAAAGAGCTCGGTGGCCGCGTGTGTCTGGTGGCTGTCCTATCAGCACAGGTTTAGAGCTTAAACAGTAAAGGCGTAATAGCATCTGGCTTTCAGGTAGGGGGAAGACTTTGACTTGAGTTTAACTTAAAAATGAAAATATTTGATATCTTCTATTTTATATTCTCATGTTAGCTTTGGGAAAAATTGGAACCTCATTACGCTGGTAATTAAAAAGTAATAATAATGATTCTATTTGTATTACCTGAGCCAGAATAAGGAAAAAAAAAAAAAAAACCCAGTGGTTTTATGATGATGGTTTTATGAGTTCACTTTGCATGCATGCGTGTGTGTGTGAGTGAGGGAGAGCACACACTAAGAGTTTCATTCAAGGAAACAGTTGTTCCCCTCTGCTGGGCACTGAAGGATACGGTTGGGACGGGTACGTAAATATTTCCGTGGTCCTAGAAGGTGAAGTGCTGATTCTTAACATGGGAACTTTGATCTTTTTTTTTTTTGCACTTCAACTTGGAATAATAGACTTTGATATTTACTGGATTGAAATTGGAGTGGAAATGGTTTTATGGTTTTATTGAAACAATTTGGAACTTGCCAACTTACTAGTGTCATACATTTGTTGTTGATAAAAATGCTGTCTTTGCACCTGGCTGTAGTAGTTGATTACGGTTTTCACAGCTGCCTGGTGAAGAAGACAGATCAGGCTTTCTCCTGCACATTTTACAAATGAGGAAACTGAGGCTTAGCAGGGGTACATGATGTGTTAAAAGTCAGTGGCAGAAAGGAGAAGAAAGCCCCAGACTTCTGATTCTTAAGTCACATTCTTCCTGTATCAACTATTGTCTGATAGGGAATGAGTTTTAGGTAAAAGTCAATAGCATGGTGCCTAGAGTTTGAGGGATTAAGTCCTCTGAAATCTCTTTTAAAAATTGTGGTTTTGGTGTTGGGCACATCTCCTTGACAGTTTTACATCTACTCACTTTCATGGTTTTCCTCGCTGTCTTTCTCTGCTGCCTTCCGAACACGGCACAGGATGGCTACGCCATTATAAGGGTCCTTGTCTTGATGAAGGCATGGCCATATCAAGGTTTTATTTCAAGGCTTCAGAGGAGGCACCGTTAATATTTTTCAGACACACTTTCATTTGTCTTAAGAGGGAGGGTAGAATATCCAATTTACGTCATTCTGGATTCTTCTTGACGTTTGCCTTTACCAAAGAAAGTTACACAATGCCAGGCTTTTCCCATGTGGGGGCCACCTTCCCTGGGAAGTGCGCAGCTCCCTGGAGGAGGTGTGCGTATGTTCGGGGGGTGCAGAGGGGGATGCAGGAACCCTGCTGGTCCTTCGTTGGGAGCCCTGCTTAACACTTGGTGTGACACACTTGGTGGCAGATGCGTTCCTGTACGAAACTTGGTCCTTGCCGTTTGGGGCGGAATGACAAGCCCGACCCACTCAGGACATTGAGGAGCCTGCTTTCTTTCCTCGTTGTGGAGCTCTGAGACGGCTTTCCTCATGACGGAGGAAGAGATAATTACTCAGAATAACCTCTAAAGGTTCTTTATAGTTCGGATTAGTCCAACATCGAGTTTTAAGAACCTCCACTCCCCCTCCCTCGGGCCTCCATAGATGCATCATTTGTTTAGCAAGTATTTGAATGGCCGTGACGTGTCAAGGGCAGTGTTTCTACATCCTGGGGAAACAAAGTCCATGAACAAGACAGTCCGTTCAGGGCAGGGGCTCGGAAGCAAAGTTCAGGCAAAAGATCTAAAAGTAATAAGGCCACTTTTCTCTAGGCTTCTTGAATTGAGTAAGTACTGTGTTTATACGGTGTGCACGCCCAGTAAATAAGGACAAGAAGTAAATAAGGATGGAAACTAATCATTCATAGGCTGGAAAGACGGAAAGTAGTCCATCTTCTGAATGACCTGTTTTGGATTTTTTTTTCTTTTTTGCTCTCTTTTAGTTTTATTAAACGTGCCTAGGGAAGTGTTTTGAACTCAAACTGGAATTAAAGTTATATGACAATACCTGTATTTATAACATATTAGTATATTTGATGAAAATGCTAAGCTTAAAAAAAACTGTATAGTGGGAATGTGCCAGAGACAGACAGCCCATGGGTTTTGGAACCAGAGGTTTGAATGAGCTCCACCACTTCCTGGGTGTCTCCACCAGCGCCTCTCGAACCAGAAAGGGGGAGTGGTGCGCTGTGGTTCACACCTGAGCTCTCAGAACTCTGCCCGTACACACCGGGGCTATGTTTCGTGAGTGCTGGAAGGAGTGACAGCAGCTGGTGGGGGACAGTCATTGCTAAGCTTTGTAGATCATTCTCAGTCAGAAGGCACAGCTCATTTCAGTCGACTCTTTGTTTTGCTTATTGCCTTCTTCCAACATGTAGGCTTTAGGTTACTTCTGATGAATTAAGCTTATAGGGATGTTTACCCTAAACAGAACAAAACAGTGTTAGAGATGTAGCTGACTCAGCATAGAACTGATGAGGGGCTAGAAAAATACCTATGGCTAAGTGAAGGGGTAAAGGCCTTTCCCCAGGTAATAGAGAATTTACTTTTGGTTTCAGAACCTTTGAGGCTTATTGTTCCAGTTTCTGGTGCTTCTGAGTCTGTTACAGGAGCAAAATCACAAAAGAAACCATCCCACAATAAGCGCACATTTTGTTTTGGGAGGTGATATCCCTGAGTGGAGTGGCATGGTCTGTCACTCTTGGGCTTGGGCCGATAGGAGTTTTCTCACTTGTGCTCCACCGAAAAGTAGGGAAGATGGGCTGAAGATGTGGCTGCTTTCTGGAAAGTCTCTGGAGGTTTGCTTCAGTGCCCCAAACCGGTTTCTTCACAGGCCCTGCACGTGATCTTGTGGAGTGACCACTAGATGGCGATCTGTGGCTCGAATAGGGTGGCTCAGCGGCCTGTTCCCTGATGGGGGTCAGTCTAGAGACTGTGGGGCAGGACCCCCCTTTTTAAAATTAAATTAAATTAAATTTTATTTTATTTTATTTTTATTTTATTTTTTCAGTGTTCTAAGATTCGTTGTTTAGGCACAACACCCAGCGCTCCATGCAATATGTGCTCTCCTTAATACCAACCACCAGGCTCACCCATCCTCCTGCCCCCCTCCCTTCCAAAACCCTCAGTTTGTTTCTCAGAGTCCACAGTCTCTCATGGTTTCCCCCAATTCCCCCCTCCGATTTCCCCCAATTCACTTTTCCTTTCCTTCTCCCAATGTCCTCCGTGTTATTCCTTATGCTCTACATGTATGTGAAACCATATGATAATTGACTCTCTCTGCTTGACTTATTTCACTCAGCATAATCTCTTCCAGTCCTGTCCATGTTGATACAAAAGTTGGGTGTTCATCCTTTCTGATGGAGGCATAATATTCCATTGTATATATGGACTATGTCTTCTTTATCCATTCGTCCATTGAAGGGTATCTTCGCTCTTTCCACAGCTTGATGATTGTGGCCATTGCTGCTGCGAACACTGGCGTACATATCAGGGCCCCTTTTTAAGCAGATTAAACCCTTTATTGATGATATTAGCCCTAAACCACGTCACTGTCTTTGGTCCATCCACGAAGTGAAAATTTTACTTTGGGCATTTTATGCTTTACACTCCAGACAGGAGCTCTGGGTGTCTTTCAAGCAGAAGGATGTCTTTGGCCGGGGTGGGGGCAGGACTCCCAGGCAGGCACTGAGCTTCATTCACGTTTGGCCTCGTGGTCCTGCCTGAAGACTCGCAGCTCCTTTCTTTTCTGTTAGCTGTGCCGCCAGAGCTCTTGTCTGGATGAGTGGTCCCTGCCCTCGAATCTGTTGCAACAAACATCTTTCTTCTTCCTTTCATTGGGCAGGAGTCCCCTAAACCACCTGCCCATATCTGGCTGATGTCCTGTGGCTTTGGTCCTTCACCTGCCCTTCCAGTGAAGAGCAGAGACCTCGGCCTTAAATGTTTTGGGGTTAGCTGGTTGCTCTCTTCTTTGACCCTCCCCCATATTATTAATAAAATATTATTAGTTATGTATATATAAACAATAAAAAAATCAAACCATACAGTAGAATGCCCAATGCAGAGATAGCTTGTTCTCCTCCTGTTTCCTAGACTCCCACTTACTGCTTTCTTGTATGTCTTTTTTTTTTTTTTTTTTAAAGATTTTATTTATTTATTTGACAGAGAGAAATCACAAGCAGGCAGAGAGGCAGGCAGAGAGAGAGGAGGAAGCAGGCTCCTGCTGAGCAGAGAGCCCGATGCGGGGCTCGATCCCAGGACCCTGAGATCATGACCAGAGCCGAAGGCAGCAGCTTAACCCACTGAGCCACCCAGGCGCCCCACTTGTATGTCTTTTGAGCAACTGTTCACCCCACATTTGGGGTCTGACACTAGATCTCTATCTAGGCTATCAGCATCTTTTTTTTTTTTTTTCTTTTCTTCCCCAGTCTTTCTCCATAGAGATCCAGAGTGGGCTTTTCAAGATCCAAGCCCAGTTATTGTGGTCTTTCCCATGGTGTTGGTGTAGAGGGTGGCTTCCATTTTTTTTTTCTAGCATTCAATTAAAAAAACAAAACAGTCTGGACAGCAAAACCCTTTACAAGGCCTGGCCCCACCTCCCTTTCACTTCCCCTCTTCATCTATCCTGTCTAGTCACAGTGGTTTTCTTTTCATCTTAACTTGGCATGCCCCCTTCTGCCACTGGGCCTTTGCACGTGCTGTTCCTTTTATCTGAAAGACTCTCTCTGCTAAAAATATTTGATGTCTGCTTTTAACTGTCAGCAAACATTTCAGTCCCTTCAAGAAGCCTTTTCTGACTTCTAAAATACTCTAATTGTTATCTTTTTTTTTTTTTTTTTTTTTACTTTCTAAACATCAGGAAGAAATAGAGGACATTCTAAATTGTTGTAGATTCATAGAAATGAAGCATTTACTCTAATTTTTGGCTTTTAAATATTTTATTATCTCCTTAGATTATGGGAACTGTTTTGTAGTTAGCTACAAAAAAGAAACCTTTAGAGATTTATTGCTAAAAATAGATCAGTGTGCTCTAGTATGAACCATATTATAGTTTATAAAGTATGTAAAATGTTTACATTGATAAGACTTACAGTATGTATTATTTATACTTAGTAGGAAGCACACCCAGCATTGAAAAGGTTAATATCACTGGTGGAAGTGGTGACTCTTGGTTCTCCTTTTTAAGGGCTAGATATTAGGAACAGAAAATTGTAAAAATAGCCAATTAGTCTACTTCCTTAGGAAAAATAAACCGTGTGTCACTTACCTGTAAAAAATAGGTTTTTATCACCAAAGCTCCCTGGAGAAATAGCTGATTTCAGGTATAGGGTAGAGATAGTACAAAGTGAGCTAGGATGTCTTGTGCCAGAAGCAAGGACGTGCTCAGAGACTGACGGGGACAAATCAGAAGGACAGTGGCACCAGCTTGGAGGGGTTGCTGACCAAATGAGGACAATTTGTGCATCACAAAGACGAAAGGCAATGCAAGATTATAACACTGAATAAAAAGCAAAAATCCTTAAGTCCAGAAGAGAAGAAAGGGGGTGAGTAGAACTTCTCTTTATAGAAGAGCTCCAGCCGGTAGTGTCACAGCAGGAGAGAGTCAGAAAAATCACCATTTCACATCTTCAAATTTAAGGTCGATTCAAGCAGGTGGGTGCTAAAGCTACCAGATGAAAGTTGTTGAGGAACAGGATTCAGTCTCAAGATAGCAGCCCATAAATTATATACCATTTCAGAGGAGGGAAAGTACCTGTTAGTGGAGAATCTGAGGGAAGGTACTTAAATTGAATGAAACAATTTAGAATCACTCACAATGGGCCAGACTGACATTAGGAGCTTCCCCATGGGACACAGGGAGAAGGATATCATGAGCAGTGTTCTTACCGTAAGTAGTTAGCTGAAGTATAATCCTAGGGAAATTATCTGACAAACTGGGATTCTACAAAACGACTTTTTTCGAAAATGGCATTGTCAAGAAAGACAGAAAAAGTCAGGACGCCCTTCTAGAGACTAAGGAGATAAACAGCTAAAAGCAGTACATGAGCTTTGATTGGATCCTGGATCAAGAAAAAGCATCTATAAAGAAAATTGGGGGAACAATTGGAAGTTTTGTATATGGGTTGTACATTAGCTAAGAAAGTTGACATTGGTAAAATATTAAGAGTGATGATGGTATTCATATGTTTAGGATTGAAGTGTCGTAATGTTGGCCAGCTACTTTCAAATAGTAGCTGGTACAGAAAAAAAGTGCCTGTATGTGAGAAAGTGCAAATCTGACAGTATTTGCTATGAACCTAGGGGAAGGGTATGTGGGTGCCTGTTTACTATCCTTTCCATTTTTCTGTACATTGGAAATTTTTTTAAGTCAAAAATGTGGGAAAAATAAGATCGTCATGAATGTGTTCTTTAGGTATTCTGTTTTATGTAACGACCCAGTTAAGAAAAAACTCAGGTTATAATTTGCCTTTATTCTGTTTTTCTAGATGTGATACAACAGAAAAACTCAGAAATACTTTGGAATACTTAAGATCATTATTAAATGATTCTACAAACTTTAAACTTATTTACAGATATGCATTTGACTTTGCACGGGTGAGTTCTCTGGAGCCTATCCAGATGTTTCCCTCCCCCCCCCCCTTTTCTTACTGCCTTTTGAGGTTCGTTTTTACATGCTGCAAGCAACAAAGTTGAGTAAGTTACTCCCAGGATGCTAGTTAGAACTTCTTCCTACATGTACGCTTTCTAAACTAACTGATTCTGGGCAAAAATGTAGCGTGTTAGCAAAAGCTGTGATGGCAGACCTTCAGTCGTTCTTGAGATTGGCTTAGAAGTCATTTACAAATGGGCATGCGGTAGACCGTTTTCTTAAATGTCTTTGAGACAGGCTTGGGAAAGCTTGTCATTCTCGTGAAACAGCAGACCTTCACCCATTGAGTTACCGGAGTAAACCACTCAGATCGAATCCACCTTCCCTCTGGGTGCTGTGTTGTGTTTGGGAGTCGTTTGAAGTTCAGACCCGAGCGGATTCCAGTGAACGTGACTCAGACATAGTTTCTAGTCATCGTGCTGAAAAGTGAGCAATCTTGTTTGTCACGTGGTGAGGCCCATCTGAGTGTGTGACCGTGGTTCTGCTGGAGTGAATGAAGTCTCGTTTTCTCAGCCGAGTCACCGTGGGTGGGGAGTCCCGAGGCTCGGGCTGGCGCTGTGTTCATTCACACACAGCCCACGGCCCATACGGTTATACTCCATTCAGGAACGGTGTTGTGGTCTCTGTTAGGCTTGTGCATTTCGTGGATTCAGGTGACAAGGCTTTCTTGATTGATTGGTTTTTTTTTTTTCAAGATTTTATTTATTTATTTGTCAGAGAGAGAGAGGAGCGAGAGTGAGCACAAGCAGACAGAGTGGCAGGCAGAGGCAGAGGGAGAAGCAGGCTCCCTGCCGAGCAAGGAGCCCGATATGGGACTCGATCCCAGGACGCTGGGATCAATACATGAGCCGAAGGCAGCCGCTTAACCAACTGAGCCACCCAGGCGTCCCTTGATTGATTGGGTTTTAAAGCAGAGAGTTCAGGGACAGAGAACTTTTTTTTTTTTTTAACATAACCCCATGCTGATCTTTTTCCCTTTTTACATGCTTTGACTCCGGTAGGTCAGCCCCAGGGGTTTACTTGATGGTGAATTCTGGTGCATCTGTAATAACACATTAGTAGTTCTCTAGTATGTCCTCATTTGTGAATTTTTGCATTTTCATAACCTACCAATAAAATCACAACACATCAAAGTTTATAGATGTTAGAAATGATATGGTGCAGCTCAGACACAGTGTTCTACTAAATGGCATTTGTGAAATTGTACATGGGAGTTATTTGCCAGATGCTTTTAGAATAGATACGTGGTTTTTAGGATTTTATTACATTTTATTACATTTTATTACATGAGACCGGTTTCCTCCCAGAGTCCGCTGTTCTTACTGTATGGGCAAAGTGTGTTTCAAAGCATTACAGCTTCTCACCAAAATAAGCCCTGTTTTCTAGCTTTTCTGTTTGGGGGTCAGAGATTGCCACATACCCGCTGCTTTAGCCCCGAGTTCCATTTTACTCCTCGCCCCGGCTTGCCTCATCTGTGGCCCATCAGTGTGGCCTGTCAGTGTGGCCCATAAGCGTGGCCTGTCAGTGTGGCCTGTCTCAGAAGCCCCCTTGGCTGGCCTCTTCCTTGGTGCTTCCACCACAGCCTTGCCACTCAAGGCCCTAGTTACTCCAGGCCTGCACTGCCGCAATCACCTTGTTTCCACATCCTGTCACTTCTCATCCAGCGTCCCGTCAGGAGGGTGTCCCTCGTCTGCCTTCAGCCCCAGGGTCACCGGGCCACCTTCCAGCTCTGCAGAGCCTTCCTTCCGCCCCCTGGGCCTTCAGGGTACGTAGTGCTTCGCCATGTGTTCGGTATGGCTCTCCCCCCACACACGGTGCGTGACGAGCAGGGGTGGGTTCAGCCTCCTTCACAGAGGAGGAGAGTGGGCCACGGAGAAGCAGAGACATCGCACCATGACCATGGACCATGCCATCCATCAGCAGTAGATAGGGACTCAAACCCAGGTTCTGGTCCCACGTCCAGGCCACGGGTCCCGCGGGTTTCCTTTCTCACAGGACACTGTGTTGTGACGTCCAGCCCGCTGTTTGCTGAACCTGCCCTGGCCTTTCTGCTTTCTGCCTTTCGTCATCAGACCCCCCCGCCCCCCGCCCGGAGCCCTGCTTGTGCTCCCACAGCTCTCTGCCACCTCGGGCTTCTGGGCCCAGCCACCCGCATCCCCTTGTCCCCTTGCCCACAGCCTCCCCTGCCCTCACAACCTCAGGGATCCTGCCCCTGCCTCCTCCAGCGCGGCTATGGAGTTTGGGCACAGGCCTGCCTTGTCTGGGATGGAGCCGGGGAGTCGGCATTTTCCTTCTTTGCATCCCCAGTAGCAGCCAGCAGAGATCCTTGCTTTTACTGAGCGCTGCCAGTGAATTCATAGGCCCTGGTAGGTAAGATGAGTAACTGCCACCCATATTAATCCTCACCAGACACATTCAGTTGGGCCAAAATACGCTCTGGGATGGCTTTGTCATTGGACCCTTCGGTTTGGTTTGCTTCACTGCATCCGCCATTTTGAGATGTTGTACGCATTTTCGTTGGCGTTCAGTTCAAGAAATTTTTCATTTTCCCTTGTGATTTCTTCTTGGACGCATTGGTTATTTAGAAACGTGTCGTTGGTGTTATTTTCCACATATTTAGGGCTTTCCAAGTAATCCTCTCAGTGATCCCTGGTTGAATTCTGTTGTGGTCAGAGAACATACAGCACGTATCATTTCAGTTCACCACACGTGTGGAGACTTGATCTGCTGTCCAGAATACAGTCTGCTGCGATGAATGTGTTTTTGTGTAAAACACATAAAGAATGAGTATCCTGCTGCTGTTCGGTGAAGTGTTTTATGACGGTCAGTTAGGTCACGCTGGTTGATAGTGTTGTTCCGGTCTTCTCTGTCCTTCCCGTTGTCTGCCTTCTAGGTTCTGTCCATCACCGAGAGAGGAGCGTTGAACTCTCCAGCTTTATTCCCCCTGTCGTTTTCATCACGTATTCTGAAGTGCAGACATTAGGTGTACATACAGTTCATACGGTTACAGCCTTTTAAAGCATTGATCCTTTAGCATCGTGAAATGTCTCTTTATCTCTAGTAATGTTCCTTGTTCTGAAATTTACTTTGTCTGATACAGATAGCCATTCCTACTTTCTTTTGATTAAAGTCTGCAGGATCTGTCTTTTTCCACCCTTTTACTTTAAACCCATTCGTGTCTTTATGTTTAAAGTGGGTTTCTTACAGATAGGATATAGTTTCCTATGGATAGCCTATAGACAGTCTGAAAATACCCTCTCGAGATGCTTAAACCATGTACATGTAATGTAATTATCGGTATGGTTAAACTTACGTCTCCTATAGTATTTTTTTCCCTGTTTGTCTCTTCTGTTTTGTTCCTTTTCCCCCTTTATCATGATTTCTTGGATTGAGGTATTTTTTTTTTTAAATGGTCCCATTTTAATCATTCCATCCCGGTATTGCCTTAATAGCTGTCTCTCTGTTTCATTTTTCTTGTGGTTGCTCTAGGCTTGACGTATACATCTTTATATTTTCACAATCTACAAATAATATTTTACCACTTTATGTATAATGCAAGAACCTTTACAATAGCAGACTTTCCTTTTGCCCTCCCATACTCTCTGCTGCTGCTGGGGGACATTGTCCTTGTACTATAAATCTCACAGTATATTGTCTTAGTCTGTTCAGGCTACTATAACAAGATACCAGAGACTAAGTAGCTTATAAGTAACAGAAATCTGTTTCTTGCAGTTCTGGAGGCTGGGAAGTCCAGGGTCAAGGTGCTAGCAGGTTAGGTCTCTGGTGGTCACCTGAAGCCTGATCTTAGATGGCTCTCTGCTGTACCCTCAGCAGAGGGTGGCAGAGGGGAAGAGGGAGTTCTCTGGGGTCTCCTTTTAGAATGGCATTCACCTCCAGCCTCATGACCTAACCACCTCTCAAAGGCCGCATCTCCTAATACCCGTGACCTTGGGGGTTAGGATTTCAACATACGAATTCAGGGGGAGCCACAGACATCAGACCATAGCATACATTGTTATCACTTTTTCTTTAAATAGACAAAAATATCTTTTATTAGCCATGTTTGTGCTCTTTGACGTAGATCCACATTTCTTCCTGGTATCCTTTGCCTTCTGCCTAAAAAAATTCCCTTTAACGTTCCTCATAGTACAGACTTTCTGGCGGTGAATTCTCTAAACTTAATTTGCCTTTGATATAGGAGGTGCTTCTCTGGATAAAAGATTAGAGATTGACTGTTAATATTCTTTAAATGATCTCTTTCCCTTGTCTTCTGTCTTAAATAGTTTCCGACGATAAGTCCGATGTTCATTTTTCCGTTGAACATAGTGTCTTGTTTTGTAGCTGGTTTTATTCGTTTTCCCTCCTTTCTGGCAAGTGGATTACAGTATGCCCTGGCATAATTTTCCTTCTGTTCATTCTGGTTAGGGTTTGTTCAGTTTTTTGAATGTGTGGACTTAGTTTGTATTACATTGGGAAATTTGTCAGCTGTTATTTCTTCAGCATTTTTTCTGTTCCCCCTTTCTGTCTTTCTGGGACAGCAGTTAACACCTGTGTTAGAAGCTTGATTTTGTCCCACGAGCCAGTGATTCCATGTTCAGTTTTGGGGTCTCCCCTTATCCTTTGTAATATTTCTTACTATGTCTGCTAATAATGATTTTTTTCTTCTTCAGTGTCTAATTCTGCTATTAATCCTGGCCTGTATATTTATCATTTTGGGTGCTGTATTTTTCAGCTGGAAAAGTTCCATCTGAGCCTTTTTTCTATCCATTTCTCTCCTCATTATGTGATAATATCTTCTCCTACCTTCTTGAACATCTAGAACATGTTTATGACAGGTGTTTTAAAAACTCTTTCCTGGTACCATCACGTCAGTCGTTTTTACGTATCTTTCTATTCCTTAATTTTTGTCTTGATTATGATCATATTTGACAAGTTCTCTGCATTC